GAAGGGCGCTTTCTCCTCCTCCTCCTCCTCCTTCTCCTAGCTCCTCCTCCTCCTCCTCCTCCTCCTCCTCCTCCTCCTCCTCCTCCTAGCTCCTCCTCCTCCTACTCCTCCTCCTCCTCATCCTCCTCCTCCTTCCTCTTCGCCTCCTCCTCCTCCTCCTCCTTCCTCTTCTCCTCTGCATGCCTGCCGCTGCACGCTCAAAGCGTTTGAGGGGGCGTCAAGAAAACAAAGAGGGCACCTTCGGGGGCGCCTCCCGAGATCGGCACAGTCCGTGGCTTGTCCGAGACTCGTGCACGCTTTTCCTGGACCACTGACTCTTAGGGTCAAGGCGGGCATGTCCCTCGACAGGAGGAATATTCAAGACTAGTCAAAAAATAGTACGGGGACTATTTTTTCAATTGTTGTTTCATTATTTTGCATATTGTTTGAATTTGTTTAATGTTTGGCCCAAAATCCGCCTGTAGGAGGACACGCCGACCTAATCTTAGGGATCCCGCTTTGGGTCCAGATCTCGGTGGGCGTCGCCTCTTTCGCTCTGGCCAGACGTTTCGATGCCCACCCAGAAGGCGTGGGGTGTGGAGGACGCTGCGTCAGGGGAGGGGGGAGGGCGGAGGCATGACCAGGTAAGGTGAGTACTCTGTGGATGGCTGCGGGGGAGGGGGGAGAGGGGGGACTCTGGGTATCCTCATGGCCAGGGCCACCAGCTCTCCCTGACGACGTGGCCCCCTCGTCGTTCTCCGGGCGCTTCCTCCCCCCCCCTCGCCCTCGTCCGCGCCAGCGCCTCAAGGCACGATGCGCCAACCTCACTCCTCGTGGACCCCCCTTCGCCGCACCCGGGTCCAGGGCCGGTGCGGCGGCGGTGCGGAGGCGGGCGACTGGCGGACGCACGATTCAGAGGAGGGCCACTTGAGACAGCGACAGTTGACCTTCGGGGGGAGTGGCGTCGTCGCCACGGCTGGACGCAGCTCGGAAGACTGATGCGTTGGGACCCCTGGAGGGATCCTGGGACCGATCTCGAGCCTCAACACGCCCTGCTCCGAATGATTGAGCCGAGGAGCTCTCGAGCCGTGACTGCGGTATGTTGTCCTGTGCCTGGCTCTGGTGCGTGTCGACAGGAGTGTGGTTTCGAGCCTCAGCGGCTACGGAGCGCACAGCAAGGGTGTACTTGCGCGCGCACTTGTCTGCAACAAAGTCGTGCGACGGTATACTCGCACTCCTGCGGTGCACGACGATGGCGACACCCTCTCCTCGCCCTGGGGCAGGCCTTCCCCGCCCGACCAATGGCTGTGGAGCAGGAGGTTTGCCTATTTTGCCAGCCTCCTCCTCCTCCTCCTCCTCCTCCTCCTCCTCCTCCTCCTCCTCCTCCTCCTCCCTCCTCCTCCTCCTCCTCCTCCTCTGTCTCCTCCTCCTCCTCCTCCTCCTCCTCCTCCTCTGTCTCCTCCTCCTCCTCCTCCTCCTCCTCCTCCTCCTCCTCCTTGGTCTCCTCCTCCTCCTCCTCCTCCTCTCCTCCTCCTCCTCCTCCTCCTTGGTCTCCTCCTCCTCCTCCTCCTCCTCTTCGCCCTTCCCCTCCTTCCCACCCTCCCTCCGGCCCCGCTCCCCCCCGTCCTGCTGCCCCGGCTCCTTCCCCTGCACCCAGGGCGCGCCGCACACCAGAGGATCCTGTCATCCAGGGCGCGCCATCATGTCACTCCACCTCCCCCTCCCACCCCTCTCTCCACCTCATCCCTTTCCATGCCTCGTCCTCTCTCCCGCCCTCCCCTTTCTCGTCCTGCTCCTCCCCCTCTCCTCTACCTCCTCCCCTTGCTCAGTCCCCCTCCCAGTTTCCATCCCTTTCGATCGATACACTGGCGGTTTCGAGCGTCCCCCAAACCCCCATGCCCTCTCCTAATCCGCTCGCCGTCCCCAAGCACCTCCCCTTTCCACTCCCCTGGTCTGCCCCACCTGCGGCCCGCGATCCGAGGAGGCCCGGTGCATGATCTGGAGGACGGGGTGGCCGTGATTGGTGGCAAGGCTGGTCTCTCGGTCTCCTCGCTTCGCGCGATTGGCCGTGATTGGTGGCAAGGCTGGTCTCTCGGTCTCCTCGCTTCGCGCGATTGGTGGCAAGGCTGGTCTCCTCGGTCTCTCGTCCTCGGTGGCCGTGATTGGTGGCAAGGCTGGTCTCTCGGTCTCTCGGTCTCAAGGCGGGTCACTGCAATTTCGGGCGAAAGCCGGCCGTGGAAACGAGCTCAATGGATGCGGAGAAGTTGTGCCGTGTTCGGTATCTGGATTGCAGCGTTGAGTAGCTGGGGCGTGTGCGCGGCTGCAGGAGCGGGGTCGAGGGACCATCGGAGGTGCTGAGGACACTTGTACAACGGGCTTTCGCAATCTCACGGAGCCCTCCTGGACGGGGCATACTGCGTGGATGGGTTGAAGAGCCCATAGTGTTACGAGAATTGCCCATGCATTGTCAGTGTAATTAACAAGTCAATCGGCTTGCGCCATTCCGCCGACCCCAAGAAGAGGATCTATGCGGCTTCCGATTTCGTATGTGCTGTTCGCAGCTTTCCGTCGCGTTCCTTGCGAGTATTTGTTACTGATTCGTCCTCCTCCTCCTCCTCCTCCTCCTCCTCCTCCTCCTCCCCTCCTCCTCCTCCTCCTCCTCCTCCTCCTCCTCCTCCTCCTCCTCCTCCTCCTCCTCCTCCTCCTCCTCCGCTGCTGTTGCAGGTCTTCTTGGTGGCCTTTTGGAGGCCTCAGGTGCGGCCTCTTGGGCGCCTTTTGAAGCCTCCTGGGGGCTTCTTCTGGCCTTTGGGGGCTTCTTGGGGGCCTCCAGGGGCAGGTTGGGGGTCGTGGGGGCAATCTGCTGGGGGAGGGCTGCCAGAGCCCCTGCGAGTCGCCCCTCTTGGGCCTCTCTTAGGCTCCTCTGGGAAGCCTCTCGAGCCGTCTTGGGGGCCTCTTGGGCCGTCTTGGGGCCCTCTTGGGCCGTCTTGGGGCCCTCTTGTGGGTCTCTCGTGCCGGGGGGGGGGGTGGGGGGCTGGCGGGCCGTCTTAGAATTTCAGAAGCCGGAAAAGGCGAGAACGTTGGAAACGTTCAAAACCCTGGAGCAAATCATTGAATGATGCACCTTGGAGGTCCTCTTGGAGGTCCTCTTGGAGGTCCTCTTGGGGCCACCTTGGAGCGCGTGGGGGCTCCTTCGGCGGTCTTGATGCCATCTTGATGCCATCTTGATGCCATCTTGGGCGTTATTGTGTGATTGGTCCCTTGGCATACTGGAGCCCTTCTTGAGCCATCTTAGAGTGCACCTTGGGCATCTTGGAGGCCACGGAGGATGGATTTGGAAGCTCCGAGGGCCTGGGGGGTGCGCTGACGAGCTCGTCCCACCCACCCACCCACCCACCCATCCCGGCTCCCCCCCTCCGCTTGCGGTCCGCACTGCTGAAGGTTTGAGTCCCCCCCGTGTCTGATGTCATTTCGTCCAAGGGGTGCTCAGTGCAGTCTCTGCGGCTGGCCGACATCATCTGAACGAGAGGGAAGGCGACCGGGAGCCCCGCGGTTTGGGTGGTGCTGAAGTGCGGGGTTGGCGCGAGGGGATGCCAACAGGTGAGCGAGAAGACGCGGCAGTGCGGCGGCGAGGACAGAGGAGGGCATGGCAGGCCAGGGATCGGCATCGTGCCACTGGCGATGTGCATCAAGCGGGAGGGTCAGCGAGGGCATGGCTTCTGGGAGGCCATGGGGGCGGCGGCGCTCCAGCGTCGGCCGATGGGGGCCAGCGGCCGCCCTGCCTCGCCAGACGAACCTGCCGACGCCGTCCCCCACCACAACGCTCACGACGACCACGACGGCAACCAGCGTGACCGGAGGCGAGCCCTGCCTCGCAGCCTTTGCACAGCCGCAGTGCCTGGCTGTCACGCCCGGCACAGGACGCGCGCATCTGACCGGCAACCGACGGGGAGTTGTCATGAAACATTTAAATGTACCTCGTGGAGACTTGTTCTGATTGGCAAATGGTGCATGGTTCATGTTTGGCAGCCCGTCCGAGTCGGCGTCGGCTTTGCTCGGGGATGTCGGCGTCGTGCCAGGTGCGACGGCATTGCTTCAGTTGCTAGAGCTACGGGTTTCGATCTTGCTACAGGTTTCTTGGAGTTCCGTGCGGCCGTAAAAGTGGTGGCCAAGTGCACGCGGACAGGGACTGCGTTGCTGACGACACTTGGCAAGTCTTCGTTCGCACGCGCGTTGTTTGGTCCGCCTCGCGCGATTGGATAGTTCGAGCAATAAGAGGCTGGACAACCCAGATGCATCTTGCTTCTAGACCTCCGCAGGCGGTCTGCTCGCAACCGCACCCGGTTATGTTGGAGCCAGGTTAGATACAATAGAAGTACGTCGTTCATAGTTGTAGAAGTCTGGCCCGTGTTAAGAGTTCCCTTGCGTCATTGTCCCTGCTTTTTCGATCGACACCCGCCCACCAAGGATAGAAGTTCAGCAGGATGCCTCGCAGTGGTTCTCGCATTGTCTGTCACGGTCACGGCTGCACCCTCAAAGCCCCGAGCTGCGCAGAAGAATACCACGAAGTAAGACACGAGGGCTTCGAGGGCGCATGCACATCCAACCCGGCGGTTGGGGGCATCTGGTCGGCAACGGGAGCACTGGGAAAGCACCGGAAAGCATAGACAGGATCCCGTATACACCAGGGTCCGGCTTCCTGTGCAAACCTCGGTGCAGGGCCGGACAGAGCGTCGGTGTATGAAGAGTTCGCTTCTTTACGTGGGGATCTGTGCGTCTGCTCCTCCCAACGTCCAGGCGCCACGCGCAAGCCGAGCACCTCCGAGGACCTCCGAACAGCTTCCAGGGCAGAGGGTCACCACCCACCAAACCACCCCACCTCAACCCGAAGGCCTCAATTTGCCCTCCATTTCCAGTGGGGGTGGGTGGGGGAACATTGAGAAAACACATATGGAACCCGTACCCCACCCCAACCCGAAATTCGGGTTTTCGGGTTGGGTCAGGGGTGGTCTGGTAGGTAACTAGTCAGAGGACGGACCAGAGCTTTCGAGTGCCGTCGGGCATGTCCCTCAGCAGGCCAGGCTCGCGACACCTAGACTCGTGACGATTTGTTGTGCTGGGTTGACTCTTGTTGAGTGTGTGTGTGTTGCCTTTTTGTGCGACTATCTTGGTTTATCTTCCAGCATCGGCCTGCAGGAGGACATGCCCGACCTACACACGGCGCGCAAAGGGTTTCTCGCTGCTCGTGAGCCCCCCCCCCCCCCCCGCGGGGACCCATGGCCAGAGGGCCATCGAGAGAGGATGGCCGAGGGCTTCCTCCCTGCTGTTCTGAAGCGAGTGATCCCTTCCAGGTTGATCTCGGAGGAGGAGAAGGTACCCATACCTCTACCCCCTCGCCCGTTTTCCTCTTTTTGGGCCTCCTGGGAGGCCCTCGTCGCCACCGCTGGATTCGCCTCGAAATTCTGGTCAGAACGCACCCCGGGAGAGGTCCGGGGAGTAGTGGTATCGGTACCTTTTGGTTTCCCCAGGTTGATCGATTTGGACTGATTACTGCTGCTTTGGATGTTGCGGCCCTCTGACGGGGGCTCCAAGGTGTCGGCAAGAAGGGAAGGAGGAGAAGGCGGGCCCAGGGATCCCGACGGGCAGTCCGAGCGGCCCAACGACTCCAGTTGCCCCCCAGGCCGCTGATCGCTTCTGCAAGGGAACCCACCCAGGGTCACCACGGGCAGGTGTGAGCGCAGATGTGAGCGGTGGATGCAGGCGCCTCCTCCCCCTCCTTCTTCCCACGGCCCTGACGAACGCCTGATGTGTCCACACACGCAAAGTCAGCGGTAAGAGAGGCCAGGCAGAGACAGAGAGAGGGTGTCGCAACGATGGCCATCCTCAGCCCGTCTCGCAGTACAAGTCGAGAGGCGAGTGTAGATGGGCAACGTCCGTCTCCAGCCATGCATCCCCCAGAGGCGAGACGGCTGAGGCGATCACAGCATCCTCCTCCTTTCCTCCTCCTCCTCCTCCTCCTCCTCCTCCTCCTCCTCCTCATCATCTTCTCGCTCCTCGTCGACGCCCCATCTCTCTCTCTCTCTCTCTCTGTGTCTCTGTCTCTTTCTCTTCCTCTCTCTCTCTCTCTCTCTCTCTCTCTCTCTCTCTATATATATATATAGTATACTGTCATGCGCCCCCCCCCCCAGAGCTCCGACCCGCACCTCGATGACATCTCGGGCCAATCCCCGTACCGCCCTCCGGAGTGTCCCAGGCAGGAGGACCTCGGGACGGCCCATGACGCCTCCGAGACAGCCCAAAAGGGCTCCGAGACGGCCCAGGACGCTTGCCCGAAGACCACGAACCCCCCACGAGCGTCCTGGACAGTGCCAAGAGGCCTCCGAGAGGCCCCCAACACTGCCCAACAGACCGCAAAGGAAGCCCTCGAGAAACCAAAGTCTACGATTGCTGCGTTCTCGCATTTTCGCCTCCGATGTGCTTCCGAAGCTTGCGCATGGTCCCCACTAGAGCTCCAGGATGCCGTTCCTTGGAGCAGTTGCTTTCGATGCCAGATAAGCCTTGTCTTGGACGTTGCAATCATATATCGGATTTCGCGGTGAATCCCAGATCCCACGATCTTTCCTACTACGAGCACCTTGACAAGCCAATCAGCCTTTTGGTTTGCCATAAGTGCGGATCCGATGCCGAGTTTGGTGGTCGAGGTCTATCCGCCGATTGCGTCAAGTCTGTCACCAGCCAGGGCAGAGCGCCTCAACTTGCCAGGTCCCTGGAAGGCAGGCACCCCAAGGGCACTCAGAAGTCCCCCATCGTCTCCAGGCTGCCCCCATTCCGGTGCAACAGCTGATCAAGGAATAATCAGCCAAGCTCAGCTACTCAGAGGCAGAAGTGTCTTGCCTATGCCTGTGCCGCCTGCTGGCGACTTCGAGCTCCAATGGTTGTCTGAGAGGCCCCCGGAGGGTCTCGGACTTCGGCTGATAGTTGTTGCCTCTGTGCGGTGGCCATGCAGAAGACGATTCCAACCCTGAAGCCGTGCGCTGGTCTTCCCAGAGGAGGAGCATCAACGGGAGGAGGGGGAGGAGGAGAAGGAGGAGGAGGAAGAGGAGGAGGAGGAGGAGGAGGAAGAGGAGGAGAAGGAGGAGGAGGAGGCGGGGGACAGACAGGATGGTGATGTGGAAGGTTGGAGAGCAGCAGCAGCAGGAGTTGCTGTAGAAAGGGGGAGGATGGAGGGGAGGAGGAGGAGAAGGACGGGAAGGACGAGGAGGCAGAGGAGGAGGATGAGGACGAGGAGGAGAAGGAGGACGACGACGAGGACGAGGACGGGGACGAGGAAGAGTAAGACGAGGATTGGGAGGGAAAAGGGAGGAGGTCCAGCAGGAGCAGCACGGGCAGCAGCAGGAGAGACGGCAAGGGCAGCGGGAGAGGCAGGAGTCGGAGCAGGGCGGCGGGTGGGCATCCGTGGCTCTCGCCAGATACCAACAAGCTGCTGCTCACGTCGGCGGATGGTGGTGGCGCTTCTGCGTCGTGGTGGCCTTTACTGTGGGGCCCTCGGCATCGGGCAGGAGGAGGGGGAGGGACGAGGAGTGACTCTCTGGTTGCACGCGGACCACCTCGCCACCGTGCCTGGGTCGTGGACTAGAGGCCGCTTTGACGTTTCTTGGGGCATCTTCGGGGCCTCTTGGAGGCCTCGTGGGGCCGTCCTGTCGGGCAGGCGGAGGGGAGGAGGACGAGGGGAAATTATTCGGAGACTGAGTGCTCAGGGCTGCACCGCACACTCGCGCGCTAGAGCAGAGCGGGCCGAAGGCAGAAAGGGCTGGCGCCGCTCGGTGCCACGCCTCCTGCTCTGCACGCCGCGGGAGCTTCACGGGGCAGTGCCCCCACCCACATGCCCGTATTGACCGATGGCCCTCGGCCAGCGCCCGACTCCTCCGCCAGGGGACCACGGGCCCCGCCTGGACTAAGCGCCACGACTCCGAGCGCAGGGCACGCGAAGTGACGAGCTGGGCCACCGGGCCCGCGCACAGCCCGCGGCCCGAGAACCAGGCACGTGCCCGCACTTCAAGCCGCCTGCGGCGAAGAGGCACCGCATTCACCGCGCGCGTCTCGCCAGGGATGGAACGCTTGGGAGGAGCCTGTTTCTTTTCTTGCTTGGGCCACAACGCGCATTTTTGCCCCCTCCCCCCCCCCTATAGCGTAACGCTCGGGCCCCCAGTGCGCCCCTGGCACTGCCACCGTGCGCATGGGGATCCGCATAGAATAGGGATCCGCATAGGCATCCGCACAGAAATCCGCATCGGGATCCGCATGGGGATCGCATAGAGATATCCATCGGGATCTGCATAGGGATCCGCATCGGGATTCCTAAGGATTCTTTTATAAATCCGCATAGGGATCTGCACAGGGATCCGCGTACATGGGGATCCGCGTGGGGATTCGCATAGGGATCCCCAGAGGCATCCGCATAGGGATCCGCATAGGGATCCGCATGGCAATTCGCATAGGCATCCGCGTAGGGATCCGCATAGGGATCCGGACAGGCATCCGCGTAGGGATCCGCATAGGGATGCGCAAAGGGATCCCCAGAGGGGTCCTCATCGGGATCCGCACAGAGATCCGCATAGGGGCGGTGGTCGCGGGCAAGTTGCTGTGCTCTCAGGCACTTGTGGCGGTCGTAGGAGGAAGACCACAAGGAGGAGAAGGACGACGACGACGACGAGGAGGTAAATGAGCATACCTCTTAAACAGCACGTGGAGGCAACGACGCCTTCGTAGGCATGAGCTCGCCACAACTCCTCGTCGCTCATCGTTGTCGGTCGTCGTCGTCGTCGCTCGACGTCGTCGTCGTTGTCGTCGTTGTCGTCGACGCTCCTCACCGTCGGTCGTCGTCGCTCGTCGTCGTCGTCGTCGTCGTCATCGTCGTCGTCATCGTCGTCGCTCATCGTCGTCGTCGCTCGTCGTCGTTGTCGTCGTTGTCGTCGTCGTCATCCTCGTCGTCGGCGTCGTTGTCGTCGGTCGTCATCGGTCGCGGTCGCTCGTCGTTGTCAAACACCTTTGAATGCTTGCGGGGGCCTCTGGATGCCTTCGGATGACCTCCGGAAGGCCTCTGGATGTTTCCAGAGGCCTCAGAAGGCCTACGGAGGCCTCGGGAACCTCCAGAGACCTCCCGAGGCGTCGCTCGTCGTCGTCGTCATCGTCGTCGCTCCTCGTCGTCGTCGTCGTGGTCGCTCGTCGTCGTCGTCGTCGCTCCTCACCGTCGGTCGGTCGGTCGTCGTTGTCGTCGTCGTCGCCGTGATCGCTCGTCGTCGTTGTTGTCGTCGTCGTCGCTCGTCGTCGTCGCTGGTTTTCGCTCGTCGTCGTCGTCGTCGTCATCGTCGTTGTCGTTGTTGTTGCCGTCGTCGTCGTCTTCGTCGTGGTCGTGGTCGCTCGTCGTCGTCCTCGTCGTGCTCGTCGCTCGTCGTCGTCGCGCGCGCGGACGTTGTGGTGGCGCCGGAACCGCACGGCGGGGGGGGGGGCGTTACGTTATACCCCCACCCACCCCCCACCCACCCCGTAAGGCCCGTTATCGCAGCGATACAGAGATGCGCTCGAGGAGGAGCAAGAGGGGGGAACTGTAAATCGTTCCACCCACAGCGCGGTTAATTACCCTGCGATCTGCAGACCAGGCGCCGAATTCCCACCTTACCGGCCAGTTCGGGCGTGCACATGCCTTGCTCAATCATACCGTCGCAGATCTCGACTCGTTTTTCCTGCGGCGTACGGGCGCTGCATTCAGAATTTGGCGCTCTGTCCTTCAGGCGTGGCTGCGATGGCCAGCGACCTTCCTTTGTGCTAGACGCCGTAGCCGCCACAGCTGCCCAGGATGAGGATACGCTGTTTCGTCGTCGTCGTCGTTGTCGTCGTCGTCGTCGCTCGTCGTCGTCGTCGTCGTGCGCGCGGAAGTCGTGGTGGCGACAGAATCGCACGGCGGGGGGGGTCGTTACGTTCTACCCCCCACCCCACCCCATAACGCCCGTTATCGCTGCGAGAAAACAAATTCGATCGAGGAACAGCAAGAGTGGGAAATTGTAGATTGATTGTTCCGCCCGCAGCGCGACTAATTACCCTGCACTCTGCAGACCAGGCGCCGAATTCCCACCTTGACTGCCAGCTCGGACGCGCGCACGCCTTGCTCAATCATACCGTCGCAGATCTCGACTCGCTGTCACTGCGGCGAAGGGGCGCTGCATTCAGCATTGAGTGCTCTGTCCTTCGGGCGTGGCTGCGATGGCCAGTGATCGTCCTCTGTGTTAGACGACGTAGCCGCCACAGATGCCCAGGATGAGGATACGTCATCGTCGTCGTCGTCGTCGTCGCTCGTCGTCGTCGTGCGCGCGGACGTCGTGGTGGCGCCGACACCGCACGGCGGGGGGGGGTCGTTACGTTATACTCGCCCCCCACTCCCCCATAACGACGGTTATCGCTGCGAATAAAATGCGATCGAGTAGCAGCAAGAGGGGGAAACTGTATATTGTTCCGCCCGCAGCGCGACTAATCACCCTGCACTCTGCAGACCAGGCGCCGAATTCCCACCTTGCCTGCCAGCTCGGTTGCGCACACGCCTTGCTCAATCATACCGTCGCAGAAAGCTCGACTCACTGTCACTGCGTCGAAGGGGCGCTGCATTCATTATTTAGCGTTCTGTCCTTCGGGCGTGGCTGCGATGGCCAGCGATCTTCCTCTGTGTTAGACGCCGTAGCCGCCACAGATGCCCAGGATGACGATACGCTGTTTCGTCGTCGTCGTCGCTCGTCGTCGTCGCGCTCGCAGACGTTCAGGTGGCGCCGACACCGCACGGCGGGGGGGCGGTCGTTACGTTATACCCGCCCCCCACTCCCCCATAATGCCCGTTATCGCTGCGAATAAAATGCGATCGAGGAACAACAAGAATAACACACACACACACACATATATATATATATATACATATATATATGTACATATTGTTCCGCCCGCAGCGCGGCTAATTTCCCTGCACGCTGCAGACCAGGCGCCAAAGTCCCACCTTGCCTGCCAGCTCGGGCGCGCACACGCCTTGCTCAATCATACCGTCGCAGAAATCTCGACTCGCTGTTCCTGCGGCGAAGGGGCGCTGCAGTCAGCATTTGGCGCTCTGTCCTTCGGGCGTGGCTGCGATGGCCAGCGATCGTCCTCTCTGCTGGCCGTCGTGGCCGCCCCAGCTGCCCAGGACGAGGATAGACGCTGCTCCAGAGCTTTCCGTAGCGCTCTCGCCGAGCGCTCCAGACCGCGCTGCAGCGGCCGCGGAGCCCGAGCCATGCTTCACACCCGCCAGTTCCCTCCTCCCTCCTCCCTCCTCCCTCCTCCCTCCCGTTCGGGAGCCTTGAGACGGGGGTCAGTGCAAACGGGGCTCAGCCAGAGCGCCCGATCTTGCAGGCTCCTGCAGGGCCAGGGTCGCACTGGCCCGGGCTTGGGTGCAGGATCCTGCAGGATCCTGCAGGATCTTGCAGGATCCTGCGCATCGGCCCGGGTCTGGGTGCAGGATCTTGCAGGATTCTGCAAGGTTTGACTGACCCGGGTCTGGATTGACCCTGGTCAGGACATCCCCGATGTTCGTCCTCATCCGAAGTTGTCCTCACCCTGCCTTCGTCTCAAGCCACGGTCGCCGTCTTTGAATTCAAACACCAATTTTTCATTCAAAAACCAGTTTTTTTGAATTCAAAAACCAGCTTTGAATTCAAAAACCATGTTTCTGAATTCAAAAAAAGCTTTTGGAATTCAAAAACAAGTTTTCTGAATTCGAAGTCCAGATTTTTGAAGTCCAACTTCAAAAAGTGGAATTCAAATACTAGTTTATTGAATTAAAAACCAGTCGATTGAATTCAAAAGCCAGTTTTCTAATTCAAAACCAGTTTTTCAATCCAAAAACCATTGTTTTGAATTCAGAACCAGCTTTTTGAATCCCCAAAACCAATGTTTTGGAATTCAAGAACCAGTCTTTCGAACTCCGAAACCAGTCCTTTGAATTCAAAAACAAGTTGCTTGAATTCAAAACCAAGTTTTGTTATATAAATAACCAGCTGATTGAAATCCAAAAAAACAAAACAAGTTGTTGAATTCATTTGAGTCCGAAAACCAGTTTTTTGAATCCAAAACCCAGTTTTTCCAACTCGAAAGCCGGCTTGTTTAATTCCAAAAACCAGTTTTTGAATTCAAAGGAATTCAACATCAATTTTTTTTGAATACAAATTCCAGCTTGTCGAATTAAAATACCAGCTTTTCTATTTTTCACAAACCAGCTTTCTGTTAGAAAACCAGTTTAAAGAATTCAAAAGCCCGCTTTATGAATTTCAAAAAAAAATGGATTCAAACACCGGCTCTTTGATCTTCAAAACAAGTTTCTTGAAATCAAGAACCAGTTATTCAAAGCCCAGTCTTCGATTTTAAAGCCAGTCTTTTTAAAATTGACAACCGGCATTCTAAAGTCCCAAACCAAGGTTTTTTAATTCCAAGAGCCCGTCTTTTCAACTCAAAAACCAGCGATCTGAATTCAAAGCCCCGTTTTTTGAAGTACGGCTCCCGCCGCAGGCCACACCCTGCGGCCAGCGCACGGGTCGGCGGCGGCCTCGCCACCACCCACGGCAGCAGAGGGCCCGCGCGGAGGCGGCGTCCGAGCATCGGAGGAGGAGAAGGTACACACTGCTCGTTTCTAAGTCTTCGAAAGTCCTTTGATTTTTATTCGGGGGGGCAAGATCCTCTCATTTCTAGTTGTTCTATCCTGGGCCTCTTCCAGGCCACTAGGGGGCCAGGAACAGTCAGAAACGGGCACAATCGAAAATGAGCACGATGAGAAAGGAACGACGTGTACCCATACCTCTACCCTCCCCTCGTTTTCCCCTTGTTGGGCCTCCTGGGCGGCCCTCGTCATGCTGCTGGCCCGGCCGGTGCCCGTCGCGACGGGCAGCCTGACGTACCCCGAGTCACAGCTCTGGCCGCCGTCGCCATCGCTGGTGGACTGCTGGGACGAGGGGAGATGAGGGAAGGAGCAGTGGAGGATGAGGAGGGCGGGGGATCAAGAGAAGGGAGGACAGTGGAGGGAGAAGGCTGCGTCATCTGCCTCCTCCCCCATGCTCCTGCTAGCTCCTGAGTTTGTTTACGTCGCGGTTCAGTCTCACTTCAGCGCCTGAGGTTGTCGGCCCTGAGGGTGTTTTGTGAACAGATGTGATCGGACTCGAGCATACACAGAACATAAACCGCTAAATAATGAAAGCCGTGGTTCGGTTCGTCACGTTCGGTTCGACCAGTTCGGTGTTGTTCTTCCCGACGGCTCCATTTCGGCCGGTTCGGTTCGGCCACTTCGAATCGATACAGAGACGATCTCGGTCAGCCCCATTTCGATTCGTTTCGATTCCAGGCGGGCCAGTTCGGCGGCCCAAACGGAAACGTGTTGCAGGGAGGGAGGCGAGGCAGGAGGAGGGGGAGGAGGAGGAGGAGGAGGAGGAGGAGGAGGAGGAGAAAGAGGAGGAGGAGAAGAGGAGGAGGAGGAGGAGAAGGAGGAGGAGGACCAGTGTAAACCCAAGAGTCATCAACGATGTTGGAATAAACCCTCCCTCCAGGCTCCATCTTCAAAGGCCCCTGTAACAGTTCACTTCCACAAGGGGGAACTGCTTCGTTCGAAGACAACCGTTTCAAGATCCTGGAGCATGCCAGAGTATTGCTCTCGGGATTCCAACGCCACGAATCAACCTGACTGTTGTCTTGACGATCCTGAACCGTGTCAGAAAGCCGTCCCTGGAACTTCAGCGCCGCAAATCAAGGTAACTGTTGCACCCTCCTAATCCCGAATCCTTCCAAAACGCCATGTCTGGTACGTTGATCACGGGCATCCGTAAAACTTCTGCAATTGTTTAGAACGAATGTGTGCGGCGCGGCGCGAAGGCGAGAGCCACATTTTGAAAAGGAACCGCCCTCAGTCCGTGAGGTCCATACAAATGTTTATAACGAATGCGCGCAGCGCTAATGCGAGAGCCACCTTTTTGCAAACGACACGCCCTCAATCCGTGAAGCTCTTGCAAATATTTCGAATGTGCGCGGCGCTGAGGCGAGAGAGCCACATGTTGAAAACGACCCGCCCTCAACCCGTGAAGTTCTTGCAAATGTTTAAGACGAGTGTGCGCGGCGCTAAAGCGAGAACCACATATTGCAAACCACCCGTCCTCAATCTTTGAAACTGCATGTTGTAAGTTTTTCAGTTTCAAGGTCATAGAAGGAAGTCTCAGGCGAAACGCCCAGCCCGCCCTGAAAAACTGGCCTCGGGTTGCGACAGGGAGGAGCTACTTATATGGAAAAGGAACGGAGGAGGAGGAGGAGGAGGAGGAGGAAGAGCAAGAGGAGGAGGAGGAGGAGGAGGAGGAGGAGGAGGAGGAGGGCGAGGGGGAGGATGGGGGAGGGGAGGAGGACGACGAGCACGAGGAGGAATAGGTGGGCGACGACGACCAGAGCCGGCCCCGGAGGGTTCCCCCGGCACCCCCTGGTGCAGGCAACCCCCGGCACCCGGCGCCGGCACCCCCCGTGCTGGCGCCCCCCGGCAATGGGGAGTGCCGGCCCCGGCCCCAGCGTGGCACCCGGCGGTGCGGCCAGCACCAGGGGGTGCCAGCACCAGGGGGGGGCGGTCAGCTGACTGCGTTGGTGGGGTGGTCACACAAAAAGGGCCCTCTGCCCGCGCGCGGGGGGCCGCGCGGTTCGGTTCGGCTGGTTCGGTTCCGCCCGTTCTCGGCCGGTTCGGTTCGCATGGCTGGCCAGTTCGGTTCGGCCCCTCGGGTTAGGCTGGTGCGGTTCGACTGGTTCGGTTCGCACGGCGGTTCGGTTCGGGTCGGCCAGGCGGTTCGGTTCGGCCAGCTCGGTTCCTGACTTGGTTCTCGATTCTCGGTTCGGTTCGCGACCATCAGGCTAAATCAGCGAGTGCAAACCTAAACTATCCGAAGGACCTATCCCTTGCGCGAGCGCGCGAGGGAACACATGTCCCCCTCTGACGCGTCCAAGGTTCGGCTTCTTGATCCTCGCTTGCTGTGCAGGCTTCTGTGTCTTCGCGTACCTCTCCGTGCAGAAGTCGAAAGCCGCGGAGAGGCAGACGAGGAGACCCCCGCCGCGTCATCAACGCCATCTGTACGCGCGAAGTCATTCTCCTCATCCCTCCTCCTCCTCATTCCGCTCCCTACTCCATATGATTTGGTGATGGCGGAAATCCTGGAAATCCCATACCCTCCTCTACATCCTCCAGATCCGCCTCCTCACCCTCCTCATTATCACTCATCATCATCCTCATCATCATCATCATCATCATCATCATCATCACGATCACCATCACCACCACCACCACCACAACCACAACCACAACCACAACCACTATGGTTACCGTCGTCGCCGCCCCCACTATCATCACCATCATCATCACCATCATCATCAGCATCATCGTCATCATCAGCATCATCACTATCATCATCATCATCCTCCTCGTCCTCCTCCGCATGGGCATCGTTATCATCATCGTCATCAGCCTCATCATTCTCATCATCATCAACATCAGCCGTATCATCATCAGCAGCATCATCATCATAATCAGCATCCTCGTCCTCATCATCATCATCATCATCATCATCATCATCAGCATCATCACCACCACCACCACCATCATCATCATCAGCAGCATCATCATCGTCAGCAGCAGCATCATCACCCGCTTCCCCCTCCTCCCACTCCCTCCACCCTATCCCTCCCCTTCACCTCCTCCTCCCTACTTCCCGCGGTCGTTACGAAGTTCACTCGGTTCCCAACCAAATCTCGTCTCCTCCCTCATCCTCCTCTTCCTACTCCTCCTCCTCGTCCTCCTCCTTCCTCCTCTTCCTCCGACCGCGACGCGCGACCTAGGAGCTCTGTGGATGGGTGTCAGCGCTACCCCCCAGTGCTTCGCACTGGCCCCCCTGGAATGACCGCTGCACAGCACCTGGCCAGAGCGCCGAGTCGCCAAGCAGCGGCCGCCCCCGCGGGGGGAGAGTAGCGCCGGCTGGGGCCTACAGTCCGCCGTGCACGGGAGCGCGTAGCCGACCCACAGGAAGCGCCAGGGCTCCGCGAGCCCAGCCCCCCGCCTTGCTGAGATGTTCGAGACAAGTTTTGGTGAGTACTGCTCGTTCACGTTGATCCAGCCAAACTTGCAACTTGAGCTAAAACAGAACTTCGCACAACTCTGAGGGACTGGGGGACGGGAAGGGATCGGGGAGAAGGGAGAAGGGATAGGGGGACTGAGAGACTGGGGGACTGGGGAATGGAAGAAGGGATCGGGGACTGGGGGACCGGGGAGAAGGGAGAATTCTTACTTCCTACCTCCTGGGGATCAGGGATCGGGGAGGAGAGGTGATGCCCCCCTCTTTCCTGCTCCTCCCTCTCTCCTCATCCCCTTCTTTGGGGGGGGGACTCCGACGTAGGCGAGCGAGCGCCGTCGCGTCTTGATCCCCATCGTTCCTGCCCCCCTATCATCCCCCTCCCCCTCTTCCTCCTTCTCCTCATCCTCCTCATCCTCCTCCTCCTCCTCTTTCTCCCCGTGGCTCCCATGCCCGCGTGCAATGGATCACGTTTACCCGGTGATGCTGAAGCTGTTCGAGGGCACTATCATGGTGCCCAGCCTGAATGCCAGCGGCTTCGCATTTCTGCCGAAGGGCTCGCCCGAGGAGGGCCGCAGCGACTTAGTGGACTGCATTCGCCAGCCTCACCAGACCAGGCCGCTGAGCCTCAAGAACCAGGACTCGAAGGCCATCGCCTCGGCCATCAACTGGAATCTCAAGCGCGTGGCCGAGCGCGCCACCGACGAGGTCCAGCAAGGCTTCATCTCGGGGCGGAATTTCATCAAACACATCCTTGCCATGGACACAGAATGCCGGATCGCTTCAATGGATCCCGGGGCCGCGGCGAACCATCCAGTTTTTATTAGCTTTGATTTCTCGTCGGCTTTCGCGAGCCTGAACAGAACTTACCTGAGCAAAGTGTTGGAGCGTTTCAAAATTCCTCTCGGATACAGGCATGCGATTGCCGCATTGTACTCCAGCATGGTAGGATATGTCAAAGTAGGAGGCAAACGCGCGAGTGAGATCCCAATCCTCTCGGGCGTTGCCCAGGGATGCCCTCTCAGTGGCACGTTGTGGGCGCTTGGACTCGACCCCTTCCTTCGCCTCTTCTCTCGGGAGCTTCCCACTCACCAGCTTGGTTCTCTCGGAGCCTGCGCGGATGACATCGGCATGGTCCTCCGTGCCTTGCAGACGGTTCGAGTCCTTGAGTCCCATTTTCTCCGGCTGCGGCAGGTTTCGGCATTATCTCTGCAGGCCGTCAAGTGCGTCATCGTTCCATTGTGGGCTGACCTTACAGCTGAGGTCAAATCCGTTGTCCAGGCTGAGCTCTCTTTGTGTGCCCCCAGCTGGTCTCAATTTCTGGTCGCACCTAAAGCTAAATATCTGGGAACCCTACAGGGACCAGGTGCGACCCTCGATAATGAATGGGCTATCCCGTTCATGAAGTGGCGCAGCAGATGCATTGAGCTCGGTGCTCTTGCCTCTTCCGCCGACGTCTCTGCCAGATTGTACAACTCGTCGGTTCTGTCCTGCACGTCTTATGTGGCGCAGTTTTACCCCATTAGCGACACCACGCGGAAGAATGAGCTGTGGGGCCTGCACAAATCGTTGCGCCTTCCTCCAAACTCCTTCGCTCTCTTTGGGTTCCTCTCTCTTGGCTCCTGGTCCCCTTCCCCTGTCCCTTCTTCGCTCCTGTCCTCTGCCCTCGCTTGTGCCTGGCGCTGCGCTTCACTCACGCTCGACTCTCTCTGGGGCCCCTCCTTCGCCGTCTAAGGGACGCCGCGGAGGCCTCAAGTGCCGCCGGGGGCCTCGGAGCAGTCGACCTCGTACAAGGTAGCTGGTGTGCTCCGTGCTGGCAGCGCCGCCAGGCGATTGTCCAATACTATGCGCAACTTTGCTCCGCCATGCCGATGTCGCACCCCCCCCTCTCTTCTGTGCAGCTTCGCCTCGCCCAGCGCCGTGCACGAATCGCCGTGCGCGAGGCCACCCGGGAGGGTCGTCGGCCCAAGATTCAAGGCCTCTATGCGCGCACCCTTGCGAGTCTTGCCTATCCCGATAAGCTTGAGCCCCTAATTCGGCGGCGCCTGCGGTCCTGGTTCGATTGTCCTGCCCCCCGAAACATGCGGGTTCGATGGGACCTGGTGCGGGAAATCCTGCGCCGGGCCCCTCCGAGCATTCGCTGGCCGTACCTCAAGGCGATTTCGGGGGGATGGACCACCACGGGCCGAATGCACGTTACAGATACTTTATGGAGCTGTGTTTTCGGATGTTCGCACCCCGATAGCATAGCACACTATTCAAAGTGCCCCCGCCTCACTCACCTCGTTTGTCGTCCTCGTGATGTCGTCTCGCCGTGTCCCCTTCTCCGCCTCGGTCTTGGTCTCCCTACGCAATATCCGGCATTTGACCTCACCCGGGAGAATGCTATTTTAGCAACGGCTCTCAGTTTCTATATCTACCACGTTGCCAAAGAGATGGCTTCGCATCAAGACGGACGCCCTTCAACTCTCCCGCAGCAGCTCGATGCTTTGAAAGCGGCAATGGCCAAAATGCCAAGCAATTCCTCGATTCTACCCCCTCCGCCCAATGCGGCTAGGCCATACAGCTGGCTCAGGCCGAGGCGTCGAGGCTGAGCTCGACCGACTCGCTGAAGCTACTGGCGCTCCTCCTCTTTCTCCCCCTCCTCCTCCCCATCCTCCTCCCCCTCCTGCTCCTTCTGCTCATCCTCATCCGTTTGCTCCTCCCCTTCTTTTTCCTGCCCCTTGTCCTGCCCCGTCCTCCCCGACTGCGCGCGGGATCGCGCGCGGGAGAGGTGGTGGAGGAGGAGAAGGAGGAGGAGGAGGAGGAGGAGGAGGAGGAGGAGGAGGAGGAGGAGGAGCGGCTTGGCCTGGCCGGCCCGCCTCTTCGGATACCTGCTGGGGAAGGCCGAGGACCGGCTTTTGTCAGACATGCGCCCCCTTTCCCGGATGTCGGGGCGGCGGAAACTGCTCACACAGCCCGTTTTCGCCTGGCGGCGGGCCTTGGGACCATCGCAGAGCGATCGGACTCGAGAAGCGCAGCAGAAAGATCGGATCGTTACGGCTTCGATCGTGATGTTTCGCGACGTTGCACTGTTCTCCAGGACTTCCAGTCCGGTCTGGCCAGATGCTCCGTGCTCGCGCGCCCTCCATAGACGTTCGTTTGGGACGGCTCCGGTCGGACGCGCGCCCTGCGGGGGGCCCCAAGCGGTGCGGTGTTCACACCGATTTAGCGTAGATCAGCTTCGATTACCGTCGACCAGCGTCGATTAGCGTCGACTCGCAGGAGCCAACGAGATTGTATGGTACAGTAGGCTCCCATGGGTCGCCGCAGAAGTGGGGATTCGAGGTGACCGCACGGTTCTGGGACCTGGGCGGGTCTCCGCGGACGTCTCGGGCGGCTGGGGCCTCCAGGGTCCCCGCACCGTGCGGCGACGGACCGCGCGGTGAGGTGTCCTTCGGGATTCCGAGGTCACCGCACGGTATGTTACCGCACGGGCTTGGGACCCCCAGCCCGTGGCCGGGTGCTCCCGTGCGCGCGCTCGCGCCGTCATTGGACGTTCGTTTGGGGGGCCTTCCTGGTGCCCATCGGACGGGTCTGTTCCACTCTCGACGACGTGCTGCTCCCGCCCCCCGCAGGGCCACGAAGATCAAGGCCGGCATGCTGGACGAGGAGGGCGCCCACAGCTCTGAGGATGGCTGCTCGCCTGTTGCTGCTCCTGCCGCTGCACCTCCTTCCTCTTCCTCCTCGAGGTCTGGGCGTCGTATGTAGGGCCGCCCCTACACCAACGCGAATCGAGTAGATCAAGAATACGTTTAGACGACGGCAAGACGCCGAAGTAAGAACCCTGTCCAAGCTGAGGAAGTCTCAGCTGGTGGTAGGGTGACGTTTTCCATCGCTTCGCGATAGGTCCATTCCATTCCATTCCACACCCTAGCGCTGTGAAAGAGCCCGCCCGACTTGCATTATGGTCCCGTTTGGGGCCATGGGATGGTCACGGATCTGCCGTGCTCTAAAGATCAAGATTGAAGATGGAGTCGAACGCTCGGGTCATACAACGAAGCACGTTTTGTCATCACGTCGGATGTCGGGCTTCTCACAGTTCGGCTCACACCGAAGGAGTTCCCGCGCCGAGCACGGACGTCACCTAGAGGGACAAATGCGCAAACACGAGCGTAACGAAATCAGAGGAGCATCGGGGCACGGCCGTTGGGCCAGGGCCCCCGATCGAAATCCAGAGCGAGATGGTCATGCTGGATCGGAGCGAAAGTTACGTGACGGGAAGCGGCTACATCGGGATTCATCACTTCTCTTGTATCATCCTTTCTTGCCCTTCCTCTTCCTCTTCCTCTTCCTCCTCATCTTTCTCCTCCTCCTCCTCCTTCTCCTCCTCCTCCTCCTCCTCCTCCTCCTCCTCCTCTTGCTCAACTACTCCCGCATCCCCCATCGTTGCCCGAGGGGGGTCCAGGGGATGGGGTGGTGTTACTCTATTGTTTGCCAGTCTTCACAGGGAGGCCGAGGCAGGTTTGCGTCGTGGCGATGCTCAGGAACTGCGGTGTTCATATGCGCGGCGGCGTTCGCAGGCATTGCGGTGTTCGGTTCGTGGGCATGGCGGTGGTCGCAGGCGCTGCGGTGCCCAGCCTGGAGGCCATGTTGATGTGCTCGCGCGTGTTGTTGCGGTTTTCGCACGAGCTAGCGCGGCGGCGATGGCAGGCGCTGCGGCGCCCACGCCCCCCCGGCAAGTATAGGGGTGTTCCTGGTGGACGAACCAGCGCTTCTCGTTCCAAAACGTTGTGCTAGAAATGTTCGTCTGCACGAACCCCGCAATGGGGTGAAGGCACGGTGCCGACGGAGTCAATAATACGTTACAAGTCTGACGCAAAGGAATTGAATGTTTCCGCCTGGCCCGCCCGTTCCAGATGTTCGGGCCAATGGAGTTGTAAATCCTCGCGCTTCTGTTGGTGTGCTTCCCCCTGCTGTCGGTTGTTCTCCGTCCTCCCCTTCCTCGTTCTGCTTTGGCTGGTGCCGTTTGGTGGCCGCAAGTGCACTGTGGTTCTCTTAGGCTCAGCGTGGTGGTCACAGGCACCTGCGGTGCTCGCAGGCGCATTGCTAGTGTTCGTAGGCGCATTGTGGTCCTCGTAAGCTATTATGGCGTTGATAGGGTCCCGCTGTAGTGTTTGCTAGCGTTTGTGGTACTCCCTGGCACATTGCGGGTGCTCGCAGGCACAGTGTGGCGTTCGCAGGCACTTGCGGGACATGTATGGGCCAGCATACCTTTGTGCTTGCATGCGCGCGGCCTTCGCAGACTATTGTGGTACTGGCAGTGTCTCGCTCACCTCGCGGTGTAGGGGTCGCAAGTGCTTTGTGGTGCTCTCGGACATGTTGCGGCGGTCGCAGATTATCGTGGTGGAACACATGCGCACAGATGTTGCTGGATGCCACGTGGCGGCCTCAGGGTATTGTGGCTTTGACAGGGTCTGGTATTATGCTATGTTGCATGCAGTGGCGCCCGAAAATTATTGCGGTATTGGCAGGTTCTTTGCTGGTGGGTTGTGACGACAGCAGGACGCATCTGCGATGTGGCGAGCGCAAGCATGCGCTTCAAGTGCGCACGGACCCGCGCGCGAATGTACATTGGCCGGTGGTGCGCGGAGGCAAATGTACAGGTGCCCACAGAAAAAAAAGGCATGTTATCGATTTGCACCCCACCCTCTACCCCATAGATAACTCAGGGGATCGCCGAAAACTCAAAGCACTCTCAAGATTGCCGCCTGAAATGAGTGTTAGCATTCTTGCGGCCATGCAGTACAACCAAGACGCTAAACACTTTGGGCTGAGAATGGGCTCTGGTTTTCTGGCCTTTCCGTAGTTCGAGATCGGAGAATCCAGTCGTGGCCGAGGCTCGCCGTGGCAAGAACAAATCTCCGTTCTTTATTCAGCGTCCTCACGACCATTGCATGTGTTGTATTACTGCGGCGTTTTTGCGGCCACTGAGTACGCCTTGACGTACTGCTCCAGTCACTTCTCCGCCAAACGTCATGGACCGAGCCAAGCGCCTTCACCACCATGCGCTTTTACGTGCCAGCGAAAACGTAACCGAGCCCGTACGAGCCCCAGGCCTGCCTGCATTGGCTCGCACGGGGCGTGCCGAGTTGGAACTCCGTCCTCCCAGGTGGGCCATCCTCTGCACGTCATCGCGTCGCTTTTCTGGAAGGAGCAACTTCATAGACGTTTTCGGCGGCGGCGGGGCAGAGTTGGCTGCACCAGCGAAAGAGCTAGACGGGGGCTCCAGGAAGCGAATTGGGCCACCTTGGCGGAGCCTCTGGCGCCGCCCCGCGTCTTGGACACGGGTCCAGCGCCAATCCAAGAAATCGTTGCGGAGCATCGGAAGGTCATGCTTCTGCGGTTGATTGAGATTCGATGTTTTTTTTGTTCGGCATCGGCGTCTTCTTCGTCTTCCTCCTTCCTCCTTCTCCTGGCCTGCATCAGGGTCTGATTGGGACCTGGACGATCTGAGAACTCGCCCGCGCGCTTACTCACGGCGACTTGTTTTGCGACCGCCCTGGGCTAGGTCTTCCGCACCGCTGCTTCCGCTGGCCAACTCCTCGCCGAGTGCCCAGCTGTCAACGTCGACCAAGGTGGCACGATTGCGTCCGCCTCAGTGCCCGCGGAGGTGCCCCACCCAGCTGTGACACCATCATATGATGAGGTGCCACCTCAGTTGCCTCCCCTTCCTGCTCCCCCTTCCCCCACCACGCCTGGTCCTACGACCCCAGATGGTGTTCGTTCGTGCGTCGCCCACGCAGAAGGGGGTATCTGTACAACTGGCCCGAGGGTCAAGAACAGTACTAGCTTTGGAGTCGACTGCACGCAAGAATGACCCTTCGCCAGAGTGACCACTGGTGCGGGCCCAGAGGGGGTCGGGTGATTTTTCCTGAGGAGTGAGCTCGGCCTCGCGTCGGCACCCGCATCGCGCGATTGGGTTTGGGCCCACCCCTTGCAGTCGACAGCAAGGCACACGAAGGTACTCCTCCAGGAGGAGTACCTTCGCGGAGGAGGAGGAGGAGGAGGAGGAGGAGGAGGAGGAGGAGGAGGAGGAGGAAGAGGAAGAGGAGGAGAGGAGGAGGAGGAGGAGGAGGAGGAGGAAGAGGAGAGGAGGAGGAGGAGGAGGAGGAGGAGGAGGAGGAGGAGGAGAGGAGGAGGAGGAGGAGGGAGGAGGAGGAGGAGAGGAGGAGTGCCGTCGCGTTCTTCGCGTCTGGGCTCTCCGCCTCGTGGGGTGCCTCGCCCCGGGCGTCTCCACGGGGACGCCGTCCCTCGGCGATGGGGCACACGCTCTTGGCCCGCGCCTTCGTGGCCAGAGTTCGACTGCAGTATATTGAGTCGGGCGGGTCACCATACAGGCGGATTTTGAACGAAAAAATATTTGTTCGTCCAAAATCAGTATTGTTCTATTAATCTTAAAATTAATCTTCCGTCATGTTTCGTCCAAAATCCGTCATTGTTCGTCCAAAATCCGTCCAACATTCTGGACGAAATATATGTTTACTATTGATTTTAAAAATTAATAGTCAACAAAATGTTCAAGAATAGTGACCTGCGCCTTCGTGGCAAAGATTCGATTGCAGTGTATAACGTCGGGCAGGTCCCCCATACAGGCGGCTTCTGGACGAAGAGATTCTAAACAGAGCCCAAGCAGATGCAAGCATAGCCCAAACGACGGGAACATCGTCCCCTGACCAGAGTCCAACTACATAGTGTAATTCCTTTCCAGGTTGTTGCTTCCATGGAGTGGAGGTGCGGCTCTTGCCGGCTGGACATTCCAGTGTGTACGGCTCCTGGGGCTTGGGGCTTCGTTGCGACGAAAAAAAATCGTCCCCTGACCATGTCTGCTGCTGCTTTTGAGTGGTCCTCCTTGGGAGGAACACGCCCGACTCGATGATAGCAGGCGCGGCAGATGAGATTCGTCCGCCCGCCAGCAGGTGCCCCGTGGGAGGGCGCCGTCTCCCTGCGGCCCTCGCGTGGGCCGTCGGCTCGCGACGAAGTTTTGGCTCGACCTCCTCCTCCTCCTCCTCCTCCTCCTCCTCCTCCTCCTCCTCGTCTTCCTTTTCCTCCTCCTCCTCCTCCTTCTCCTCCTCCTCCCCCGCCTCCTCGTCTTCCTTCTCCTCCTCCTCCTCCTCTTCCTCCTCCTCCTCCTCTTTTCCTCTTCCTCCGACGACGACGACGAAGGTGCCATGGCGCCAGCACCGCGGAGCGGACGTCGCTCGGAAAACGACAGGATGGGCCCGGAGAGTCCTGGAGCATGTCGTTCCGAATTTCGAGGTGAATTGCGTGCGGATTTTTTGTTGGGGGCCAGGAATGAAGACTAAAAAAACCACGCGACATTCACGTCGTGTTTCGCTTGTCGCTTCGGGCAAATCCACGCAGGGGTCCGCTGCAGCACGTCTGCAAGGCTGGTGCAATGAAAGCTGTGTATTGATCTCTCTTGGGGAACCTGTATTGTCATGTGCGCAAGCTCCGCGATGGTCAGGTTCGACGAAGTTGTGGAATCTGATTGGAACAAGATGCACTGTGGTGGCACGTCCCGGGGGGGAAGGGAGAAGGAGCAGGCCTTCTCAAAAGGCGGCGGGGTTTCTCAGAAGCCCCCGTGCCTTGTCAGAGCCTTCGGGAATGGCTTCGAAAATGTATCTGGAGGCCGGAGGCCTTCGGAGCCTTCGGAGGAGAAGGCCCACCGCTCTCTTATTCCCCCAGGGCGCGCCGCGGAGTTCTGCTGTGTGCGCATGCGTGATGAGTAGTTCGGGCCAGGTTCATGCAACTTGTGTGCCCCGCCATTGTTCCAATGTGGGAGCCCGAACATGTTATGTCCCATCACCGTTCGACACTTACGCCAACACTTAAGCCCAGATAGGGCATTAAATGGCTGAGCTGTACATGCAAGCTTCTCCTAGGGGCACCGAGTACCGAGCCTCCTTGGGCTCCCCCAAGAACCTGGTGAAAGCTATCTCTGGCAGTGGTGGCCACCCTGTTTCACTTTTTCAACATGCTTGATTTACGAATGCACCAGGATGCTGATCGTTCTGGCCGGGTGACGGGACTTTGCGACGACGACGACGAGCACACCATTGGACCCAATCGTGACATCCCATGGATTGGGATCTGATAGTCGACGTGTATGGCGAGCCCCGCTCACGCTCATCCCGATGATCTTTCCGGCGTCGACTCCAGGCACCACGACTTGCACGCATTCTGAAGGGCTCGATGCACGTCGGCCGACTTGCGTCCGCTGCAACCTGCAAGCCCGCGGCTCGCTCGTGATCGAGACTCGGGCCGCGCCAATGCATCGCGTGCTCGCAGACTACCCGTCATCGACCGCCCGTCCCTCTTCAGTCCTTTAGCTTCTAACATCCTCCCCTAGTGGCTCGTTTGTGCGACCAGGCGGGGGACCAGGTTGGTCTGTTGCGTCGCGTGAGGCGTATATGATCTTGCGCGTCCTCACACTCGCGGCCTAGACTGCGCTGGGCGTGCTCGTCTCGTTTCTGGCCCCGGGGATCGTGCCGAGAGCTCGTCCCCTTTCCCTCCCCAGAGCGACGACGTGATTGCCTCGGGCCTGCACCTCTGGACGATTTTTCCTGGGACCGGCCTCCCGATCCGGGCCGCTCCTGGACGGCCCAGGCGCCGAACGCAGCGAAGAATTTCTGGCGCGACCTTGTCGGGTCGCCAGAGGAGGAGGAGGAGGAGGAAGAGGAGGAGGAGGAGGAGGAGGAGGAGGAGGAGGAGAAGGAGGAAGAGGAGGAGGAGGAGAGGGAGGAGGAGGAGGAGGAGGAGGAGGAGGAGGAGGAGGAGGAGGCGGAGGAGGCGGAGGAGGAGGAGGAAGAGGAGGGAGGAGGAGGAGGAGGAGGAGGAGGAGGAGGAGGAGGAGGAGGGGAGAGGGAGGAGGAGGAGGAGGAGGAGGAGAGGGAGGAGGAGGAGGAGGAGGAGGAGGAGGAGGAGGAGGAGGAGGAGGAGGAGGAGGGGGAGGAGGAGGAGGAGGAGGAGGAGGGGCCTGGGGCCCTCCGTCGCTCCCCCCGACGAGGCCACCTCGCCGCCGCCGCCGCCCGCCCCCCGCGCCCAGGAGAGCACCGACGAGGAGCGGCGCACGAGTTTCCGCACCGGCGCGTGCGAGCCGCTCATGGGCAAGGAGCACTCTCGTTCTCTCTCTCTCTCTCTCTCTCTCTCCCTCTCTCGCATCTGCATCCTCCTCGCCCCCCCCCCCGCCACCCCGAGGAGGGCAGGAGAGAGAGCGGATCGGGGGCGAGGATCGAGGGCTGAGCTGCACTGCAGAGTCTCTGGCCCTCCTCGGGCTTCTGGGGGCCTCGTACGAGGAGGCTCCCAGTGTTTTCGATTGCTTAGGTGTGTGGGCGGTCCTGTGGCGTCCTGGGGGCTCCGGTTCCGCGGGTCAGCTCCCCTCTCTCGCCCCTCCCCTCTCACACCCCCTCCCTCCATCCATCCTTTCCTCTTCCCTCATCAGTCCTTCCCCCTCCCTCCCCCGTCCCTCTCCTCCATTGCCCATTTCTCCCTCCTGCCGCTGCTCCCCCTCCTCCCCCCCTCGTTTTTCCAACATGTCCACCACCTCCTTCCACCTCCCTCCTCGCCTCATCCCCTCATCCCTCATTCATCAATCCTCCTTTCTCTGCCTCCGCCGCCTCCTCTTTCTCCTCGTCGTCGTCCTCTTCCTTCTCATCCTCATCATCATCCTCGTCCTCACCCTCTTTATCCCCTCGCTCCCTCCTCCTCCTCCTCCTCCTCCTCCTCATCGTCTCCTCCTCTTCCTCCTCCTAATCCTCCTCCTCCTCCTCCCTCTCCTCCTCCTCCTCCTCCTCCTCTTCCTCTTTCTCTTTCTCCTCCTCCTCCTCCTCCTCCTCCTCCTCCTCCTCCTCCTCCTCCTCCTCCTCCATGTCTACACCATCCGCCTCCCTCTCCCTCCTGTTCAAACTACTCCACCTCAACGTCTTGCCCCTCACGCTCCTCCCAACTCGCTAGGCGTCTCCTACTCCCCTCCCCCTCCCCATTGCGCCAAGTGCTTGCCAGAGTCTCGGCTAGACGATCATGTGTTGCCGCGTCTCGGCCGCAAGGTGGTAGCGTTCCCGAGTAATGATGGTCCCGTGTTGTTCATTGGCATCCGTTGCAAGTATCTCTCCCCTGGGGGGGGGGCAGGATTTGTCCACTAGGGGGGGGCAGGATTTGTCTGCCCGAAGCTGGGCCAGCTGCTGTCGGCAATCTAGATGAAGCTCTAGTGGATCACCTCAAGCATACAACTTGTTGGCAGTGATTGTCAGCCTGTGTGGAGTGCATTCCGACCGTGCACCGTCTCCCCCCACGCCTTGCGGGGTGATATCCTCCCTTGCTCCGTCCGCTAGCTAA